TGTCAAATAAACAAGGTGCGAGCGTCGAGGGGCCCACTTTGACTGAGAAATGGGCAGCGTGGTGGGGCCTCTGTGGGCGCGTTCGGGGCCTCTGTGGACTGCGTCCGGGGCCTCAGTGGGCAACGTGGTGGGACCTCAGTGGGCAGCGTGGTGGGGCCTCAATGGGCGCGTTCGGGGCCTGTGGGCTGCGTCAGGGGCCTCAGTGGACAGTGGGGTTAAGGCCTCCGTGCGGGCGTTCGGGGCCTCTGTGGGCTGCGTCTGGGGCCTCAGTGGGCAGCGTGGTGGGACTCTGTGGGCGCGTTCGGGGCCTCTGTGGGCTGCGCCGAGGGCCTCAGTGGGCAGCGTGGCGGCGCCTCCGTGGGCGCGTTCGGGGCCTCTGTGGGCTGGCTTCGGGGCCTGAGTGGGCAATTTGGCGGGACCTCTGTGGGCGCGTTCGGGGCGTCTGAATGCTGCGGCAGGGGCCTCTGTGGGCAGCGTGGCGGGGTTTCACTGGGCGCGTCTGAGGCGGGAGCCGTTGTTATAGCCGGGGGCCCAGGGGCACAGTTTGGCCCGGATGACTTTCCCTGTCAAATAAACAAGGTGCGAGCGTCGAGGGGCGCACTTTGACTGAGAAAGAACGATGCGCACCGGTGGGGGGGACCAACAGAAATCACAGGAATGAAAGTTCAACATCAGCTGACGTGCGAGGGAGAGGGAACCGGAAGGAGGGGGAGGCGGCCCGGGAGGAGGGAGGAGCAGGAAGGTATGAGCGCGAACGTTCGAAAAAGTCCTGGGCGAAAGCGCCGTTCCACAATGAAGTCTCGGGCGGCAGCCCACGACGGGCGGGCGATCCTCTGACGGGCGGGTGGGACATTCAAGCGGGATGCCTGAGTAGGGCGAGATCGCGATTCCAAAAAAAAGTGTGAGCGTCCTTGGCGCGCGCGTGGTGCCTGAGCGTGGATAGCGCGATTTCTGAATAAACTGCGAAAAAGTCACAGGCGAGAACACAATTCCTGAAAAGGGGATGTCTGGCGGGAGCGGGGGTCTAGACTAAAGCGCAAGGAAATCTTAAGCGGGATCCGTTCTTGAGTAAATTATGAGAAGCCTCAGACGGGAGGGGGGGTCCTGACTAAATTGCAAGGAGGTCACAGGCGGGAGCGCCGATCCTGAGCAATTTGGAAGAAGTCTCAGGCGGGAGCGCACGTCCTGAGTAAAGTTGGCGGACGTTTCAAGCGGGAACCGTTGTTGTTGTAGACCGGGGGAGCAACAACGCAGTTTGACCCGGACAAAATTGTGAGGAAGTCTCAAGCGGGAGCGCCGTTCCTGAGTGAATCGGCGGGAAGTCTCAGGCGGGAGGGGGGGGTCCTGAGTAAATTCGGAAGAAATCTCAAGCGGAAGCCGTTGTTGTTGTAGTCTGGGGGGCCAGGGGCGCAGTTTGACCGGGCAGACTTTCCGGCAAAAAACAAGGTGCGAGCGTCGAGGGGCACACTTTGACTGCTAAAAACAATACGCACCGGTGAAGGGGGATGAACAATAACTATTTTTCAAAAATGAAAATTCAACAGCAATAGCAACAACAACAACAATCATGTTAAAACTGATCGCTCTTATTTGCTCGCGTGTCATTCAATATGCATATCCCAAACCCTGGGTACCCGCCCTCTTCGTCTTCGATCGTACCTCCTTCTTGGGGGGTATATTCATTCCCTGCCACGCGCGGTCGGTGAAGCCCTTGAAAACGAGGGGCAACAGATAACGGGGGAGAACGGGGACGAATAGATCGGAGGAACGAAGGAGACGGCAAGAAGGAGGGAAGACGATGGCTTGCGCTGCGAGTGACGATTCAGTTTGCGCCATGGTTTGCGCCAGCCACTCCAGCACAGGTCAACAATATGATTCGCCATGGGTCGCGCCATAAACAGCACCACGCACCACCCTCTTGAAATCAGAGTGAGGGGACCGAACGGTCATTCACTGTCCCTGGGTGCGTGGCTGCAGTGGGATTTCGCGGTGCGGATTTTCGTTAATGCTGTTTGTTGTTGTTTGTTGTTTGTTGTTGTTTGTTGTTGTTTGTAGTTGTTTGTTGTTGTTTGTTGTCGTCGTCCCACCCGCAACCCGCCCCGCGACCCACCCGCGACCCACCCCGCGACCCACCCCGCGACCCACCCCGCGACCCACCCGCGACCCACCCGCGATCCACCCCGCGACCCACCCCACGACCCACCCCGCGACCGACCCGCGACCCACCCGCGACCCTCCCGCGACCCACCCCGAGACCCACCCCACGACCCACCCCGCGACCCACCCGCGACCCACCCCGCGACCCACCCGCGACGCACCCCGCGACCCGCCCGCGACCCACCCGCGACCCACCCGCGACCCACCCGCGACCCACCCGCGACCCACCCGCGACCCACCCCGCGACCCACCCGCGACCCACCTTCGACCCAAACCACGTTCAAGGTACGAACCGCCATTTTCGGCGCCTGCGGCGGGTTTTTTTTGCATTCCTTCCAGGTGGAGAGCCCGCGACCCACCCCGCGACCAACTCGCGACCAACCCGCGACCCAAACCACGTTCAGGGTACAAACCGCTTTTTTCGGCGCCTGCGGCGGGCATCTTCTGCATTCGCTTCAGGTGGAGAGCCCGCGGCCCACCCGCGACCACGATCAGGGTACATACCAAATTTGTCGGCGCCTGCGGCGGGCATCTTTTGCATTCGTCCCCGGTGGAGAACCCGCGGCCCACCCGCGACAGATTCCACGTTCAGTGTACAAACCAAATGTTTCGGCGCCTGCGGCGGGCTGCTTTTGCATTCCTTCCAGGTGGAGGTGGAGAGCCCGCGACCCACCCGCAACCCAAATCACGTTCACTGAACAAACCAATGCCGCACAAGCGCGGCTGCGGATTTTTGCATGCCGTCTGCGCCCGCAACGACCCCTTCAAGCCCCGCGCATCCACACCAGTCCGTCCAGCAACTTTGCCCTGGCGAGTTGCCTTGATCAGAAAAGTCGGGGAGCATAATGTGGAAAAAAGGATTGCGTCGCCGTTACCTTGGGAAAGGAAGGGGAGGCAGGAGGAGTAAACAGGGGACGAGGAGGACGCGAAAGAAGGGAGGATGCAAGGAGAACGTGGAGAAAGAGGAGGAGGAGGAGCAGCAGGAGGACGAGGAGGGGGAGGAGGGGGAGGAGGAGGACGAGGAGGGGGAGGAAGGGGAGAACGAACGAACGAACGACTCTGCAGAGGCGTGACAGCTGGTCTCTTATCCCTCGGGGCATCTGACATCAGGCTCAGACGATTTCCATAGCTGGCTCGCTTCTAAAGGGCGCGGCGATGTGACAAAAGCCATCCCGCGTGGCACTCGGTGCACGCATGCCCCCGCCTACCCCCTACCTCGGCTGGTGGGCCCCCCGCTTTAAATCCTGGGCTCGGCCGCAGGGTCAGGGCAGAAAAAAAGGTGGGGGAGAAAAGAAGCAGTAACCCTCGGGCGAATCGGGACCCGACAAAGGAGCGAGGCCGCGGGGGGGAGCGGGAACGAGCGGGGCCAAGGAGGGCCCCCAGAGGCCCGAGGAAGGGCAGAGAAAGGAGAGAGGCGAGGTCCCAAGACGCCCGAGGGGGGGGGGGACGGCCCAAAATCGGGCTCAACCTCCCCTCGCTAGACTCAACAATTAAAAGCCAATGAAACTCAGGCCGACTACGGCCCTCACGGACCAAGACAAAAAGTTTCCGAGAATCATCAGGGGGTCGGCGAAGACCCAGGAGCCCCACGACACTGCCAAGCGGAAGGGGAGGGGAGGAGAAGGTCCCAGAGGCAGGGCAGGCGGCGGAGGCGGCGGCATCTCTAGGCCTAGCTGCACTCGCGGTCGAGGGGGTCCCTGCGCAGGTTTCCCTGGCCGAAAGTGAACTGCGCGTCCTTCTCTGAGTTCGCAAGGGCGTAGCAGCCGTCGCCGTCGTTTCCGCCATCTCTGGTGGAGTATGTATATGTAGCCCCAATGATGTTCCCACCGAGTCAAATGAGCAGGGCGCGGCCACCTGTTGTTCCAATTCGGACTGCATTCTGGTCATGCCGATCCCACCAGTATCTGGGCCCTCATATGGCAAAGGACTCGACGCCGCTTATAGTAGTCTCTCTACTGCTTCTCGCCGAGACGCCACTGCAGCAGCTGACCGTTGTGGCAGCAAGGCGGCGCCCCCTGCTTGCGGCCCCCTTCGAATTGGACCGTAGCCTGTACCGCCGCATCATCCCTGTCCTTCGCTTTGGTCTCTATCCAGATCTTGACCCTGTCCAGTGCGCGAGTCTTCTGGAGCCGACACAGGCGGGCCACATCCGTCAACTCTACGTTGGCCAACTTCTCTTGCCTTAGCTTTTCCCGGCACTCCTTGAGCTTCGCCTTATTCGCCTGTCCCACCCACCGACTGGCTCGACATCATCTGTAGCTGGGCGCGGTCGTCCCCGCGCAGGCCGTAGTGATCGTCGGCGGCGGCCCATGCGTCCTGCTGCGCTCTGCCTTGCTGCTGCGACGGGGCCGCTCCGTGAGGACCTCCTTGCGGACGCTGATTCAGCTGCTGTCGATTCGGGCCCCCTCGCCGCCCTCGGCCCCCGCTCCTCGTCCGATCTCTCCGCCCAGCGACGAGCTCGGCGCGCCTCTGATCCGCCCCAGTTGCGGGCGTTCTCTCCGCAAGGTTCGACATCGATAACTAGGTCCGGTGGCGGCGGTGCGCGCACTTCACGGATGTGCGTCTGCAGGGCCTGAAGACTAGGAAACTCACCTTGAGCCAGTACGGCGCCAGGCAGAGAAACTCGAAAGGCCTCGCGTGCACTCTCTGGGCCCATGCAGATCGGGCAGCGAAGGTCGCCAGACACTATCAGGGAGGGCGAGAACGCACTGAAATCCGTCAAACACCTTCGTCTCTTCAACGCTTGCACTACGTGACGCTTGGCAAGAACCACAGACGAGAACGTGGAAGAGCAGTAGCAGCATTGGTTGGTCACCACGAGCTGATGCATTGGGACCCTGATCCTGTGGGACGGGTGGTGGCACTGGCGCGCCCTCAAGGCTGCTCTGGAGTAGGAAGACCTGACCACAGGGCCCCCCGTCTTCTCCTGGAAGTTCGCAGTATACCTCATGAAGGGGGGGGCCTTCAGGGACTGGCGGCACTTCAGGGCGTCCGACGCGTGGAGTTCTGAGGGAAGCCGAAGGGGTTCATTACGAGCCTGCTCCCAGTAAGCCCTCCTAAAGCCCTTGACGTCTATGCTCCTGAAGTGCGATGCAACTCTAAAGTTAGTGAATATGTCCCCGATGGTGTAACCGTTGTCCAGGGAGTACTTACCTTGGGGGAGGACCTCCAGGAGTTGGACATCTTTCTGAAGCTGCTGAGCCCAGGGGTTGGCGCCAGGCCGGATCCGCCCAGAGGGGGCGAACGTCGGAGACTCACCGAGCGCTGCGAACTGCCCGAAGAGCGCCGCAACAACCTGAACAGAAACCGCGGGGCGAAACGCCAGGCGCTGCCAGTAACCAAGACGTCGAATCAGCAACTCTGTCCTGGCATCAGCTATTCTCAGCTTTTTGTGCATCACCCAAGCGGAAGGGATTCGAACACGATCCCCAGCTGGCCCCGCGCGCCGCGCGACCCCTCGAAGCGCTACTTTGGCGAACCCCACGATGACAGAGTCTAGCTTCGCGGAATCTCTCTCCCCCAAAAGGTAGACCTCTAGGCCCGGGTAGGCCGCGCTGTGCATAACTCCCGAGAAGGCAATCCTCTCGAGCTTCAGGGGCGAGCGCTGGTTCCACAAACGACCGAGCTAAGACCACGCCGAGCGAGCGGCGTCGACCCGAAGACGAACTTCCGCTCCAGCTCCTCCCGTGAAATGCTCCAGGCCTCCTAGGTACACAATCTCAGCTTTAACCTGCCCTGGGAACCCCAATCCAGAAAGCACGGCCCGCGTGGCCGTGCATCCCCCAGGGCCCAAGAAAACAGCACGACGATCTCCTTATCTACGTTCTGTGTGAACCCGCCTATCTCCTCTAACTGATCGGGCAGGATGGAGGAAGACAATTTTGCACGCCTAGCAGCCCGAAGTGGGTTGCCGTCAGGTAGCGGCAGTGTCTGCGAGACGTCATCCGCGTAGTCTCGCATTGATATGTCAATCTGCTCCCCGTGGACGGGCGAGTCAATCAGCGTCGCGACCTCCATGAGTGGAACAGATCCGCCCCAGCCTGTGTCCACGACGTCGCGGGGGCGCATCCTCGAGATATGATTCCAGGCTTCCAGCGGCTTGACAACATAACGAACAAACATCTCACACGCGTTGTCGTCGCCCACGCCCGCTCCGCGCGCAGGTAGAAAGAAGCCGCGCCCCTCGCCAGCTTGAATCTCCATAACAGATTCTCGGTGCCTCTGCCGCAGAAAGAGCTGGCCCTGCATATCTGGGATCACCTCTCCGATCACCTGCTCGAGTAATTTGTGGTCTGTCGACGGGGAGGCATTGCCCATGTCCTTCTTCACCTGCAGGTGCGGAGCGAGTTTCTTGCGCAGTCTCCAGGAGTGCAGCTCGGCCACCAACTGCGCGTTCTGGCAAGACCGATGAGCAGCGCAGCCGCGTGCATGGTCAGGAAGCCGAGGTCGATCGCGTCGCGCAAAGACGCCTCTGTACCAAGCTTTGCCGAACGGACAGTAACAGTGTATCAACCTCGTCGCTTTCGTCCCTCTCTTACCGCTGCCTTTACTCAATTGAAACGCGCGTGACGAATGCCACTGGTACGGCGTGCGACAGGACTGCCTGATCTGGCGCAAGATGCCGAATAGCCTCTCCACGAACCTCGGGCACGGGGACATGTGCTCGACGCTGTGTTTGCCCCTCGTCCTCAGGGGGCCCCCCTCGAGCCTCCCGAGTGGCCGCGCGTAGCGCCGTCAGCCAAACCCCGCCAGGAACAGAGTGAGGGGGTGAATAGCGTCACCTCGCAGCCTTCTCCAATCACGCCAGTGTATTCGTCCAGTCACCGTGCGCAGCCGTACCTGGTCTGCCTCGAAGTTCTTTCCACTCCCCACCAGGGTCGTCCAGTTCTCGTTGACCCAGGGCAGCAGCACTAGGAAACCCTGGCCCCAGTGCTCGCGTGGCTGAGATCCCGCCCTCCGCCGCACTGGCCTCCACCGTCTCTTGCCACTCCGCCAGCGTAGGAGCATAGGTCGGGATCATGTTAAATCGTCGGCGTCGTACTCCGCGGCAACGTGTTCCGATCTGAAAAGCTAGCTTCCAGACAGTGCTGGTGTCTCCCTAGTCTGAGGCCAGCTGGGGCTCGCTCTACATCTCCGCCACTCGCCCTCGATCCAGTCGAAGGCGTACTCTCTTGAGTTCGCGGTCGCATGCTCGTAGCCGAAGTCGGTCCTCCTCCGTGAAGCTCACGCTCATGAGTCTCCTGTTTTCCAGCAGTCTATCTCTCTCGGCCCGATACTCATCCTAAGGTCCATGCCTGCGCTGGTCGGTAGACTCGATCTTGGCCGCCTCCCGAACGTCCGTCACTAGGTTCGCACACGCCATCGACGGGTCCGCTGCCTGAATCTCTCTGCGCCAGGAGGGAGCGCTGCGCTCCGTCCGTCGCTCTAGTTCCGCCATGGACGCTGGTGCGCCTCGAATTTTCCGCGATTTTCCCAAAAGGTCATGATCCCATCGTACTTCGTCCGTCTCCGCGCGGGGTGTCATCTGCAGCCGATATCTCAACTTCCACAGCATAGGGCAATGGTCTCGTAGGTGCGGTGATGGAATACGCTGGAAATATCGCATCGCTCTTCGTAAACACGCGCAGGCCTGCGTAGCTTGCACGGCGCCACATGGGCCCCACAGGCGGTCGGGACGAGAGGAGATGTGGGGCTGTGCTCCGAAGGACGTGGGCCATATATCGCAGAATGCGTCGATCGCAGCCATGCCCTCCATAGTCATCATGCGCCACAAAGCGGCGCTCACTCCATTCTCGAAGCTGTCCGCAAACTGGCCTACATGCGCGTCGTCTCTTGTCGCCGTCGGAGCCCCATTAGCTCCTACTTTTTTCCCGAACTCGGAGTTCGTATCTGCCCCCACTATCACCATGCTTCGGGCCTTGGCACGCTGAATCGTACGATGAAGCCACGCCGTCAGCTGTGCGCACGTACTCGTCCAATGATCCACCTGGTGCTTTTGCGACGGGGGATAATACGCCACGATCACTAGAATGTCGAAGGTCGGGCTCTTCAGTCTCACTGCGCCCCCTCTTCCCGCCAGCTCCTTGGGCGGTTCCACGATATCCTGGATGTGGCTCTGGCGGAAGGCGCGGCGTCTCAACATTACTGAGCAGCCTGCACTCTCGTTGGTGTGTCGGCCATTCTGCTATCCGAAGTTCACCATCATGTGTCGTTCCAACTTCTGAAAGGTCGCACCGTCACCTGCTCGGCGGCGCTGCTGGGTCCCAGGCAAGAGCACCACATCTGCGAATCTCAAGCGAGAAGATATATCGTGCGCTCCCCATACATCAGACATCGAGAGCGGGTCGTCCACTATCGTTTGGAGAAGAGAAGCCCACATGGTGGGCGGGGGCGGGGGGACTGCAGGCAAAAGAGTCTAGCCTGCGGGATCTGCTTCCAGGGGGCCCCCTATGCCCCCGATCTGAACATGAGGGGTTTAGGAAGGGGAGGAGGGGGAGGATGATGATGATGGACGACAATGGGAGGACGATGATGGAGGCCGATGAGGGGGTGGACGACAATGGGAGGACGATGATGGAAAGACGAGAGGGGGAGAGGGAGGACAAGGAAGAAGAGGAAGACGAGATGGAGGAGGAGGATGACGATGACGACGAGGACGAGGACGAGGAAAAGGAGGAGGAGGAAGAGGAGGAGGAGGAGGACGAGGAGGAGGAGGACAGCGCCATCGACAGGGAAGGTGGGGGCCACGAGGTCCGCCGGCTCGACGACGTCCGCGTCGCCCGCGCCCGCCCCCTCACTCTCATTCGCAACTGCGGGGCGCTGTGTAACATATCGTGGATGCCCCCACGGGGGGGCGCACAGCTGCGAACTGACGTCAGGAAGCAAATTTCGTGGAACCCAGAAAACAAGCGGAACGTTGGGAGAGGGGGGCGGAAGGATAGTGAGAACTGCAATCGCGTCGAGACGGGCGCGGGAATGCGGGGTGGATTGGGATGGAATAGACACGAGTAGGGTCTCAGGAGGAGGGGCGGCACGGAGTGGAGAAGAGGAACCGGGAGGAGTGCTGACGAGCGGGGGGCGCACGGAGGAATCTGGAGGAGGAACTGGGAACAATTTGGGACAAATGCGGAATGCGAACGGGAAGGGGTGGAGATTGTTGGGGCGTGACGGGGTGGCCCGGGGAGGAGTGGGCGGAATGCGAAGAACTGAGGAATAGCACAACGGAGTACGAACGAGATGAATATGAAGATTAATAGGGAAAGAGTAGGGAAGACTGCGAAAAAACGTTGAAAAGCGGAGGCAGGTGGATACGAGCGGAGACTGGTGCGGAAACGAAGCGCGGGGGGATTGGAAGGCACCCGAAAGTTTCCTATGACCTCTGGGGGGCCTCGGAATGGCCCCGATGACCACCGAGCAGTTCCACAGGCTCCGAAAATCTGCGGGAACGCCCCGGGGGCCTCGTCGAGGGAGGCCTTCATTCGAAGCCTGCAGAAGAACCTGGGCCAGTGGAACACGCGCGACTCAAAGGCCGGCAAGCCGAATGTCTTTTGGGGCCGGAGAGGGCAGAAACGGGGCCACGAAGGGCAGAGAAAGGGCCACGAAGAGCCACAGCGTGGCCACGAATTGCATCCATATGGGGCCACGACGGGCGCGAATGAGCGGTGGCCACGAAGGGCATACATATATGGGGCCAGAAGAGGCGACAGCGGGGCCACTGAGCGCAGAAAGTGGGCCACGAAGGGCAGCGAGGGGGCCACGAGTGGCGACAGCGGGGCGACGAAAAGCATGCGTATGGGACCACGAAGGGCGACTGCGAGCGGGGGCCACGAAGGGCATATAATGCGGTGCCACGGAGGGCAGCGACGGGGCCGCTGAAGCAGCACCGGGACCACGAAGGGCAGCGAGGGGGCCACAAAGGGCGACAGCGGGGCCACGAAGGGCATGCATATGGGGCCACGACGGGCGCGAACGAGCGGGGGCCACGAAGGGTATTCGCATATGGGGCCACAACGGGCAACAGCGGCGCCACTGAGGGCAGCAAAGGGGCCACGAAGGGCAGCGAGAGGGCCACGAAGGGCGACAGCGGGGCTACAAAGGGCATGCGTATGGGGCCACGACGGGCGCGAACGAGCGGGGGCCACGAAGGGCATATAATGCCGGGCCACAATGGGCAGCGACGGGGCCACTGAGGGCAGCAACGGGGCCACGAAGGGCAGCGAGCGAAGGCGACCGCGGAACCAGTACGGGCAGCGAGGGGCATCGAAGGCGGGCGAAGGGCAGCGAGCGGCGACTGCAGTCCCTAACGGGCTGGTCGGGCGGGCAGGCCCAGACGGGCGGGTCGAGCGGGCGGGTCGTTGAAGCGTAAATTCTGCTTGAATGTAGCGGGAGCGCGATTCCTGAGTGTCGAAGAGCGGCATCTGAACAAATTGTGCAGAAGTATCAGGCGGAGTCGCGATTCGGTGGTAAGTTGCGAAGAAGTTCCAAGCGAGAGCGCGATTCTTCAATAAAGTGTGAGGAAGTATCAAGGGGGGCCTCGATCCGGTGGGAAATTGCAAGGAAGTCCAAAGCGAGAGCGCGATTCTTCAATAAACTGTCAGAAGTATCAGGCGGGTGCCGCTGTTTTTTGTAATCCGGGGGCCAACAACGCAGTGTGACCCTCAAGACTTTCCCTGATAAAAAGAAGGGTGCGAGCCCCAGGAAGGGCACTTCAATCGAAAAAAACAATGTGCACCAGATGGGGGGATCAACAAACATTATCCTTCAGAAATGAAAGTTCAACCACAACAATCACAGCAGCAGCAGCAACAACAAGCAGAATCCGCGCAGCAGAACTCCACTTCAGCCACGCACCCAGGGACAGTGAATGACCGATCGGCCCCCTCGCTCTGACGAGGTTCCCTGGCAAAGGTTCCCTGGCACTGCGATTCGTGCATATGGAGACCTAGGAATGCGATGTCAGCCTGTCAAAAGTTCCCTGAGAATGCGATCCGTGCATACGGAAGCCTAGGAATGCGATCCACGCATGGAGGACGCGGACGGGATCAATGCGGGGCTCAAACAGGTGGCCAGCACGCCCTTTGGCGGGTAAATACTTACTCTTTGGCAATGCCACCCTGTCGTAATCACCACTTGTCGACATCGGCCTCACCGGCCTCAACCCACCTGCTCGGCCGGGGGTCCATCCCCGCCGCCGCCCTTGATGTCGCCCAGCGTCTTGCAAATGGCGATCGTAGGATAGCAGATGATGCCGCACGAGCCGACCAGGCAAGGGACCTCTTCGTCGCACGGGATGGCGGCCGCCCCGGCAAGGCAGCACATCTGGCCCTGCGACTTGATGCACACGGTGGGCGAGACACAGCGAATCGCGCAGCAGACGCAGCAGAGCGTCGGCGCGCCTTGCTTGCAGCAGTACTCGACCTCGAGGCAGCACATGGTCTCGCTGGCCATGCACCCCATGCACCCATCCCCGAAGAGGAAGCCGTCGTAGCAGCAGCAGCACCCGTCGCAGACGACGATCGCGTCGTTGTCGAGCGCGTCGCCGTCGCCGCCCATTGCTTCGAGCAACCTCGGCGAATCTTGTGTCCTGACAGCGTGCAGCGAGTGCCCCAGGTCGAGCAGGCCTGAGCCAGAACAGCCGCGCCGTGCCAGCGCCTCTCTCGGAGGCCACAACCTGGGGGAACTCAAGGGGTACCGATACCGCTACTCCCCGGACCCTTTCCCGGGGTGCGCTCTGACCAGGATTTCGAGGCGAATCCAGCGGTGGCGACGAGGGCCTCCCAGGAGGCCCAGGGCCCAGAGAAGGGGAGAAACGAGGGGACGGTAGAGGTACGGACACCTCTGCCTCTGAAACCTGAGGCCCAGGCCCGGCAGCTGGCAGCCCGAGCGTGGGCGCGCAGAGCCCGCGCCTGGCTGGCTCTCTGGCGCGGCACCGTCACGGGAGCCCGCTCGCGGCCCCGGCTGCCCCCCCGACCTCTGGGAGCCTCTGCGACCTCCTGGAAACCCTTTTGGAATCCTCAGGAACTCGAAGGGAATCCAGGAACCCCACAGGGAATCCTCTGGAAACTCCAGAGAATCCCCACGAAACCCCGAGGATCAGAAATCGTGAGGACCCCCAGGCAATGCTCGAGGTCCCGAAAGGAAGCCTCGGGAAGCTTGGGGGAAGCCCTAGGAGACCCCAAGGATTCCCCAGGGCCCCCGAAAGGACCCTGAGGAATCCGGAGGAATCACAAGGGAACCCTCGGGAATCCATCGGGGGTTCCTCGGAAATCCTCTGGAATTCTAAAGCTTCCCGAAGCAATCCTCAGGAACCCCTCGGGAATCCGCAGGTTGCTGGGTTGCTGGGGGGGGGAGGGCCACCCTCAAAACCGCCTTGTCCAACGACAACAACAACAACAACAACAACAACAACAACAGCAACAACAACAACAACAACAACAACAACAACAACAACAACAACAACAACAACAACAACAACAACAACAACACCAACAACAACCACAACCACAACCACAACCACAACAACAATAACAACCACAACAACAACAACAACACATACCCTAACACCCTCGATACCCGCCTCTTCGTCTTCGATCACACCCCTTTCGGGGGGATTATTTCTCTTTGCTGGGGCCGGCGGGCTTAGACGTACGGGCAAACCGGAACGGGCGGACAATCCTTCGGGGGCGTACATCTCTCTGCCCGCCATTGGAATTGGCGCGGGCCCTGCAAGAGGAGGAGGGGAAGAACGAGGGAGAGTGGGAGGAAGGGGAGGGGGAAGGACGAAGGAAGAGGGAAGATACCACGTTGTGAAGGCGTCCTTGGCGCGCGCGTGGTTCCTGAGCGCCGAAACGCAATTCCAGAATAATTTGTGAGGACGTCGCACGCGAGAGCGCAGTCCTGAGTACATTGTGAGGAAATCTCAGGCGGAAGCGGGGGCCCTGACTAAGTTGCGAGGAAGTCTCAAGCGGGAGCGCCGTTCCTGAGCAAATTGCACGGAAGTCTCAGGCGGGAGCGGGGGTCCTCACGAAATTGCGAGGAAGTCTCAGGCGGGAGCGCCGTTCCTGAGTCAATTGCGCGGAAATGTCAGGCAGGAGCGGGGGTCCTGAGTAAAATTCGAAGAAGTCTCAGGCGGGAGCGCCGTTCCCACGTAAATTGCACGGAAGTCTCAGGCGGGAGCGGGGGTCTTGATTACATTGCGAGGAAGTCTCAGACGGGAGCGCCTTTCCTGAGTAAATTGCGCGGAAGTCTCAGGCGGGAGCGGGGGTCCTGAGTAAAAATCGAGGAAGTCTCAGGCGGGAGCCGTTGTTGTTGTAGCCCGGGGGGCAGGGGCACAGTTTGAGCAGGAAGACTTCCCTTGAGAAAAAACCAGGTGCGAGCCCCGGGGGTGGCACTTCAATCGAAAAAAATCAATGTGCACCGGTGGGGGGGGATCAACAATAATTATTCTTCAAGAATGAGAGTTCAACAACAACAACAACAACAACAACAACAACAACAACAACAACAACAACAACTACGACTACTACTACTACTACTACTACTACTACTACTACTACTACTACTACTACAGCAGACTCAGCAACGGCAAAGGCAACATCAACAGCAACAACAACAAGCACAACAACAACAAACAGAAAACGCAAAACACAGAAAAAAATACAACAATCAAAAAAAACTAATAACAACACAATAACAGCAACAGCAGCAGCAGCAACAGCGACGACCACCACAGCAACAACAACAACCACAACCACAACAACAACAATAACAACAGCAACAACAACGGCAACAACAACGACGACGACGACGAAGACGCCGACGACAACAAGAACACGAACAACAACAATAGCAACATCAACAACAACAGCAGCAACAACAACAACAGCAATAGCAACAACAACAACGCCACCAACAACAACAACAACAATCACAGCAGCAGCAACAACAAGCAGAATCCGCGCCGCAGAACTCCACTTCAGCCACGCACCAAGGGACAGTGAATGACCGATCGGCCCCTTCAATCTGCTGAGGAAGATGTCGTTTCTCCCAGCAGACAGCCTGACAAAGGTTCCCTGGCACTGCGATCCGTGCATAGAGAGACGATCTCAACCAGTCAAAGGTTCCCTGAGAATGCGATCCGTGCATACGGAAGCCTAGGAATGCGATCCACGCATGGAGGACGCGGACGGGATCAATACGGGGCTCAAACAGGTGGCCAGCACGCCCTTTGGCGGGTAAATACTTTTTCTTTGGCAATGCCACCCGGTCGTTATCACCACTTGTCGACATCGGCCTCGCCGGCCTCAACCCACCTGCTCGGCCGGGGGTCCATCCCCGCCGCCGCCCTTGATGTCGCCCAGCGTCTTGCAAATGGCGATCGTAGGATAGCAGATGATGCCGCACGAGCCGACCAGGCAAGGGACCTCTTCGTCGCACGGGATGGCGGCCGCCCCGGCAAGGCAGCACATCTGGCCCTGCGACTTGATGCACACGGTGGGCGAGACACAGCGAATCGCGCAGCAGACGCAGCAGAGCGTCGGCGCGCCTTGCTTGCAGCAGTACTCGACCTCGAGGCAGCACATGGTCTCGCTGGCCATGCACCCCATGCACCCATCCCCGAAGAGGAAGCCGTCGTAGCAGCAGCAGCACCCGTCGCAGACGACGATCGCGTCGTTGTCGAGCGCGTCGCCGTCGCCGCCCATTGCTTCGAGCAACCTCGGCGAATCTTGTGTCCTGACAGCGTGCAGCGAGTGCCCCAGGTCGAGCAGGCCTGAGCCAGAACAGCCGCGCCGTGCCAGCGCCTCTCTCGGAGGCCACAACCTGGGGGAACTCAAGGGGTACCGATACCGCTACTCCCCGGACCCTTTCCCGGGGTGCGCTCTGACCAGGATTTCGAGGCGAATCCAGCGGTGGCGACGAGGGCCTCCCAGGAGGCCCAGGGCCCAGAGAAGGGGAGAAACGAGGGGACGGTAGAGGTACGGACACCTCTGCCTCTGAAACCTGAGGCCCAGGCCCGGCAGCTGGCAGCCCGAGCGTGGGCGCGCAGAGCCCGCGCCTGGCTGGCTCTCTGGCGCGGCACCGTCACGGGAGCCCGCTCGCGGCCCCGGCTGCCCCCCCGACCTCTGGGAGCCTCTGCGACCTCCTGGAAACCCTTTTGGAATCCTCAGGAACTCGAAGGGAATCCAGGAACCCCACAGGGAATCCTCTGGAAACTCCAGAGAATCCCCACGAAACCCCGAGGATCAGAAATCGTGAGGACCCCCAGGCAATGCTCGAGGTCCCGAAAGGAAGCCTCGGGAAGCTTGGGGGAAGCCCTAGGAGACCCCAAGGATTCCCCAGGGCCCCCGAAAGGACCCTGAGGAATTCGGAGGAATCACAAGGGAACCCTCGGGAATCCATCGGGGGTTCCTCGGAAATCCTCTGGAATTCTAAAGCTTCCCGAAGCAATCCTCAGGAACCCCACCGGGAATCCGCAGGTTGCTGGGTTGCTGGGGGGGGGGGGGCACCCTCAAAACCGCCTTGTCCAACAACAACAACAACAACAACAACAACAACAACAACAACAACAACAACAACAACAACAACAACACAACAATTACTAGCACGTGGGGACACTCCGTTCTCACCAGTGCCAGGGTTTTCATAGGAGGCGGGCAATACCCCCACTTTGTGGGGGGGCCGGTTCAAGCTCTACCAAATTTCCAAACGACTCTTCGCCACCACCCACACCCAGCTTCCCGCCCTATGACGTTCGGACACTTCACTTCGTGGCATGCGGACGACCGTGGCTACTATTCAGGGCCCCGCGGCCGACGACGACGGCGTGCGCGCGCGAAGAAAAAACGAATGTGTCCCGCATGGTATTATTTGACAGGGATGATGGCCCTGGCAGGTGCGCAACCGTTGTTGCAGAAGTTCGAAAAAGTTGCTCGCAAAAGCCCGTTTGACAGAAATGTTTAAAAAGTGTTGGGTTTCCTACGAATCCGCAAGAGCGCGCGGGATGAAATTTTGACATTTTTTATTAAAAAAAACATTGGTTTTTTGATGTTTTTATGTTAAAATCGCTACGGAAACTAAGGTTTTGGAAGGATTTCGTCTTGCGCGCGCGAATGTCCACTTTACCTTATTTTTTGCAAGGGATTCTTGAAGTTTGGTTATGTTAGAACAAGAAATGTCCACTTTAGCTTATTTTTTGCAAGGGAAAACCGGGGGACAACAAAACAACCGGATCCGGACTCCCCGTTTTGCCTGAGACTTCCTCACGAAAATGATGAAAATGTGGCTGCGGCCTAGGCGCGGCGGGGGGGTCGCGCACCAGGGGTCCCAACAATAATTATTCTTTAGAAGTAATAATGTTCAACAACAACAATTACTAGCACGTGGGGACACTCCGTTCTCACCAGTGCCAGGGTTTTCATACGACGCCCGCCAATACCCCCACTTTGTGGGGGGGCCGGTTCAAGCTCTACCACATTTCCAAACGACTCTTCGCCACCACCCACACCCAGCTTCCCGCCCTATGACGTTCGGACACTTCACTTCGTGGCCTGCGGACGACCGTGGCTACTACACTGGCGCATGGGTACAGTGACTTGTTGTGGTAACATTTTCTGGACGCTAGCTTAGTATACGACTTTTCCCCCTGTTCCAACACTGGACACCTGTACTGGTTTTTGGTGGTAACGTGTTCCTGAAAGTGTTGGGTTTCCTACAAATCCGCAAGAGCGCGCGGGATGAAATGTTGACACTTTTTTTTGAAACAACCATTGGTTTTTTTATGTTTTTATGCTAAAATCGTTACGAACACTAAGGTTTTGGAAGGATTTCGTCTTGCGCGCGCGAATGTCCACTTTACCTTTTTTTTGCAAGGGATTCTTGAAGTTTGGTTATGTTAGAACAAGAAATGTCCACTTTGCTTATTTTTTGCAAGGGAAAACCGCCCGTAACAAAACAACCGGATCCGGACCAACCCGTTTTGCCGGAGACTTCCTCACGAAAATGATGAAAACATGGCTGCGGCCTAGGCGCGGCGAGGGGGCCGTGCACCAGGGGTCCCAACAATAATTATTCTTTAGAAGTAATAATGTTCAACAACAACAACAACAACAACAACAACAACAACGACAACAACAACCACAGCGCTGCGGGCGCGGCGCTCTCCGGCGTCCGCCACGCGGTCGCAGCAACCATCCTGCGATGGGTGCGGCGGCGCGTCGGGCGGCGCTGCCCCCGCCGAGCACAAGGCGGTGGCGGCGCGCGCCTCGACGGCGACGCCTGGCTGCTACAACCCGGGCGGATGTGGGCGGGGCGAAACGCACCCAGGCCAGAGATGGCGCCCCGCCTGCCGCGGTCAAATCATGATTTCACCTGTGCGCGGCAAAGCTGGCCGGCGCCGCGGTGAACGCTCGCGCTCGCTCCCTCCGCGGCGGCCTAGCCGCGGCGCAGCCGACAAAGCCGCGGCTCCATCTTTCTCGCGTTTCGCGTGCTGTTCGCCTCGCGGCGACGCGCCCCTCGCAAGCTCATTCGCTCGCTGCGTGGCGCGCGGAAGCACGCGCAGCGCAGCCTCGCTGCTGTGCCCGCGAACAGCATTCGTGCCTCGGCTGTTCGCTCACCACAGCGCTGCGGGCGCGGCGCTCTCCGGCGTCCGCCACGCGGTCGCAGCAACCATCCTGCGATGGGTGCGGCGGCGCGTCGGGCGGCGCTGCCCCCGCCGAGCACAAGGCGGTGGCGGCGCGCGCCTCGACGGCGACGCCTGGCTGCTACAACCAAATGCAACAGCAGGCTGGCGTCAGCCGTCGTGCGCGCGCCCCCCACTACCAATCGTCGCGGATTTCTTGCCGCGCGCGGTACGAAAGGCGCGACGAAGCGCGCATTACGGCTGAGAGGCAGCGCTTGCGGGGGCTTGGCCCGCGGCCCCTGGGCCCACGCTGGCGGAGAGGGCCATGCCCTCGCCCGTCGCAGCGCCCTCCAAGGCAGGCTGGTCTAGGTGGGCCTTGAGGGCGCCGGACCTCCAGTTACCGGCCCGCAAAATGGTTGCGAGGCTCCCCCCACCTTGTCGGAGGGTCTCCGTGTGGCCGCGCCGCAGGCACCTAGAGGTGATACGGGCGGCATTGGGGAGCCCCGCCGCGTGCGCCGACCTGCGCAAGTTGCGGGCAACCGCCGGCACGGGGAGAACGCGCCCTGCCTTGGTCGGCTTCGCCACGTGGGCGAAGGGGGAGGCACCCGGCGCTATATCGCCCAGCAGGGTGCGCGGGGCGTGCACCGGGCAGGTCGCGGTGCATATGCAACACCAGCACGAAAGTCTGACAACGCTCGGCCTAGGCATGTGCTTGCGCCTCGAAGGGTGGAGGACGACCGCTTCGCCTGTGGTGAAAAGCACGATGGTCGGCGCTGGGCGGTCAAGTTCCTCCTGCTTGAGACGGAAATTGGCCGCCATCGCGGGATCGCCAATGCGGATAAGCAGCGCCTCCGAGGGCAGCCTTAGGGCTAGGGCAAAGGCGAACACGAACAGCGCTCGCACCCGAGGGTCTGGCACGTGCGGCAGCATTGCGACTAGCGCCTTCCGCGTGACCGGAGGAGGTCGCGGGCCGGGCTGAGGCGCACGGTGCTTGATCACGGTCTTCGCGCGCGCTACTGCTGGGCTGCGGCACGCCGAGCGATCGAGACCTAGAAGCACGCATGCCTTGTCGACCTGAGCCTTATAGCTGGCAAAGGTGCCTGGGTTCGAAAAACACAGGGCCCAGAGGCAGAGCTCGTCCACAGTTGGCGGCAAGGGGCTGCCCCCCCGGCCAAGCTGCGATTTGGCGAAGCGAAACCAGCACCTCAGGCCGGCCGTCCACGTTCCGAGGGAACGCGGGGCACTATTGAGGACGGCGGCGTACCGGGCCCCGAGCAAGGTGCGCCTCCTGACGTCGGGGTCGCACGGTGCCACGGGCAAGCGACGAATTGCGGCGCGCGGGCCACCCTGTCGTGAGCCCGGTGGCGACGCCTTCAACGCGGTTGTCGCTCGCGCCAGCTGCAGCCGCTGCGAAGGAACGTCCCGCTGATGTGGGCTCGCGAGTGCTGGCCCGGCCGGGCGCCTGTCGCCAGCCCGCGAGGGGGGCGAGGAGGACGACGACGAGGAGGAGGACAAAGACGAGGAGGAGCCGGCGGAGGAAGAGACACACAGCACGGCTCGCACGGGCGCCCGCCTCGCCACTCGTCGCCGGCGCAGCGGGCGGCGGGCCCGGCGGCGGCCGCGCCCGCGCGAACAGTGCAATCGCGCGCTGCGCATCGGGTGAGAGCGCCCCGTGGCCATTCCATGTCTCGGGGGCGCCTACCGCCCGCACGGAGGAAATTGCGAAGACATCGCAGGAAACCAGAAACCTGGCGATTTCGTCAGCGACCGTGGGTGACGCCCACGGGGCCGCCGCGGCAACCTGGTCGGCGAGCTTCATGCTGGCGCGCCGATGGGAGAAAGGAGAGAGAGGTCGCCTCGCGCCCAGCGCGCCTCTCTGGAGCCCCGAAGGAGGGAGAGGTCGCCTCGCGCCCTGCGCGCCTCTCGAGAGCCCCGACGCGGTGGGAGCGCGCCAGCCTGGCTTCTGACGCACTGTGCCAGGCGGCGTTCGCTCCCTTTTTGCGGAAGCGTGCCTTGCTCGGACCCGAGCGGGAGCGACCGGCGCTGGCCGGCGTGGGCGCGCCTAGGGAGACGTCGTTTCGATCGGGTCGTCATCGACGTACGCGCCCGGCGCGCCCATCGTCGTCGGGCGATAGTCGACAGTGTCGGAATCACTGGTGGAGCTGCTGGGCTCCGGTACGGGCGCCGTGCCGAAGGTGCACCGGGCTTCATCCAGGCGGCACTCGATGGCCAGCTGGATAGCCCGGAGGATCGTCGCGCGCGCGTTCGTTGACATTCCCAGGGACGGCACCGAGTCCGCGGGAAGCTGCCCGAGCTGATCCCACGAGCGGACCCCGCGGCCCCGCAGCCACGAGGCCGCCGCGTCCGTGTCGCGCTGCCTCATCTCGCTCCTGAAAAGGGAATGTGCAGCGACCTTCGCGAGGTGACTCGCGGTGTGCGCTCGCTGAATCAGGCGAACGTAACAGCACCGCCGCGGGTTTGCGCGATCGCGCGGCATGGGTGCGTCGAGGATGCCCTCGGGGCGGGGGCAGACCTGCCGCATGGCGCTGCGCGAGTGCGGACGCAAGGGGTGGCTGGGTGGGAGAGCGGGAGCGGGGAAAACCGAGTGGCGCGCGAGCTCAAGCGGGGCAGGCCGCGAGCTGGCTTGGCAGCTGGAGATTCCAAAACTCCGTCCGCAGCCACGGGCGCCTCCAGGTGGCACCGATGTGGCACATGAGACCGTATTCCTTCCGGCTCGGCAGGTCGGAAATGTTATCGTCTGATGCGGCGCGCAGGGTAAGGGGGAAGGGCGCGACCGGCCGGGGCCCGAAGTGCGCACTCGCCGGACGGGACGCGGTCGATCCGAAGGTCGATCCCGAGCTGCCCGATCACCGACCAGAAGTGGTGGACGATGGCCCCGTGATCGCTGCACTTTCCCGACCCCTTACGAAACGACCATTCAGCGACCGTGTTGTCGCTGAAGAGGCAAACCCTGCGGCCCCGAAGCTCGTCAGCCCAAGTGGAGATGGCCAGGGCTGAGGCGAGCATCTCCAGTCCTGCGATCTGGTTGTCGCTTCGATCCTGAAACTGCCTGCGCGCGGGCGAGACTGCGCCGGGCGGGCGCCGGCGCGCGACGGGGCCTCGTGAGCCAGGCCGGCGGCATCTGGTCCGTATATTCCCAACGCCCGTCGAACCAGATGACGGCTGCCGCTCTTGGGGGTTCGCCCCGGGCATCAGCGAATACGAGAACCGGCGGACGGGCATCCGCTGGCGCCCATTCCCTCGTTTCGGTCACGCCTCGCTCCAGGACATCCAACCACCACGCCAAGCTCCGCAGCGCGGGGAGCGGCAGGGTCGGGCGCCCCCCATGGGCATGAGCGAACAGGGGCCGCAGCATGGCGCGGCCGAGCCTGCGGAATTGCCAGGATGCCGCCCAGGACAGAGCGCCCGCGAGTTTTGCGGCACATCCTGCGCAAGGCGTCGCCCCTGCCCGCGCGGCGCACGGGGCGCGCGGGCCTGCTGTCATAGATCCGTCGCGCAGCGCCGCAGTAATGCGTTTCACCCATTTCTGGACCTTCTCGTCTGACGGGCAGGCCGTCAAACCCGTGTTCGTTGCCTGCAGGAACGCGCGCGCCGAACCGACCGCCCCCCTTCGCGAACAAAGCGCACGGGTCGCCGCGAACCGAGATCGACAATCCCAGAATCACGAGCGGGAATCCGAAGGAGCCGTCGGCAAATGGCCACGAAGGCCTCCCCGATTCTTCCCCAATTGTGGACACTGCTGACTGCGCCGCGGTGCGCGGGGGAGGCGGCCAGGGGCCGGGTCGCGGGGCCGGGAGGAGCGCGCCTGCACCGAAGGGGAGGGCGACGTGCTGTGCACCCCAGACGATCCCGGAGAAGCAATAGATCACCCACGCGAGGCACCTGTGGTCCGGGCGCAGGGGGGCCCTGCGGAACGCAGAGTCAATATCGGCCTTGAAGAACTCCAGAGGGCCCAGGTGTGCCTGAGGGGGAGGGCGCGGCGCGCGCACGCGGCGCAGGCGCCGTTGATCGCGCCGGGCCAGCTTCCGGGATGCGTCAAATAAAGCGTCGACTGTGTCGTGCTTCATGCGTTCCTGAGGCTGCGTCCCTCTGTTTAGATGGGCCGCGCTGCAATCGTCGACAGCACGCACCTCCCGCGCGGGCGACTCGCGGGCGAGGCTGGCCGGGCGCGGCGGCGCCTTCGCGGTGCCGTCGGGCCGAATCCCCTGCTCTACGCCAAAACGAAGGATAACCGCCGCGTCTGCGGGCACGTCTGCGGGGGACAGAGGACGCGGCGGCGTTAGCCTCCCCTCTCTCGCGTCGGCGAAGGCGCACTCATGCAGCGCCGCGTCGCAGTCGCTCGGCCGCGTCCTTCTGAAAAGCTTTTCCCTGTCTCCGGCGTTGTCTGCGTTGCGGCGCCGCGAAAGGGGAGATGGAAGCCCGCCGCGGAGGCGACGCGCGCGCGGGGCCTCTGAGGATCTCTTCCAGCGGAATCATCGGCGGATGAACCGCTTCGACGCCCGTCCCTGATCGCTCGAGCTTCCCGATGAGGGGAGCACCCTGTGCGGGCCGCGCGGCGGCGCGCGCTCCCAGTCGGCGAGTTCGCATCGCGCTAGGCGCGCCTCGCGGAAAAACTCGACGCACTGCGGGTCATGGAAGCCCGCGTAGGCGAGTAAGCTCTCGAAGAGAGGGCCGTTGACGCCCCTTGCCACCGTCTCGACCCCCGGATCCGCGTGACGATTCCAGAGTTCGATCAAGCCAGCGCTTCGAAACAGATGGCCCATGTCGAGGATTCTCTGCACTGCTCTTTCTCTCTCCTGACACACCTCGCGCGCGGGCGCGCCGCGCGATCGACCCGCGCGCGCGCGGCGACACCTCGTCGGGCGAGCGCGAGGCCATCCATTCGAGTGCCTCCACGGTGTCCGGCGAGAGTTTGCATTCCCGCGCGAAGCAAGCATCGCCTTCGTGGGCGGTTGCTGCGGCACGCGACCGCGCCCCTGCGCGACGCTGGCATCGCCTTCGAGGGCGGCTGCTTCGGCAAACGACAACTTGCGAGCATCGGAAGCCGAGCGTCCATGCGCCGGCTCATCCCGGCGCTCGGGCTCACGTGGGCGCTTCATGGCGCGGGCGAGCTGCGAGCGGGCGCGTCAGAGGGGAGGGAAAGGGGGGGGGGCGAGACCGAGGGCGCGCGGCGGGAGGAGGGAGGAGGCGGGACCCGCGCAAACATGGTGCGCCATGGGTCCCTTGGGGCAAGAGCCGCGCCAATCGCAATGTTCTTGGATGATTCCGCGCGCCGCGCTGACGGCTGTGCCCGTCCGGCGCGCGCTTCCCCCACTCCGGTGGTTCAGCGGCGCTGCCACTTGCTTCCGTTTCCGCCGTTGCTCTTCTTGCCCCAGCCCCCCCAGGAGCCGCCCTTGCCGCCAGAGCCGGCCTTGCGCTTGCCCTGGTGGGCCTGCTGGGCCTGCTGGGCCTGCTGCGCGGTCAGCCCCTGCCCGGCGCGGTGGGCCTGGCTGAGCTTGGGCGACGCAGGGGCCCGGGCCAGGCCAGCCCCCTCCGGCCTCGGGGCGGCAGGGCCGCCGCGGAAGCCCTTCTCTTCGAAATCGTACTCACGCTCGGCCTGGCGGAGCAGCACCTCGTCGAGGGCGAGGGCCGCCTGGTTCACCTGCGATGGCGGGCGCGCGTCGCGAGCGCGCGGGCGCGGGCGTGAGATGATGGGCGCGGGCCTGGAAGCCCGCGACCCCGGCGGCAGCCTTGTCGGCCCAGCTGCGGCGGGCGACCTGATCGTAGATCACGCCCAGGACGGACTTGCGGTTCTTCAGCTGCGCGTGGGCAGCCACCTGCGACACGGGCGGAGGGGGGTAGCGCCGTGATGGGATTCGCGCGCGTGCGCGAGGTGCCATCAGGCAGATCTGCTTGTGGGCCAGCGCCGATGCAAAGTCGAGCTGCTCCGTGACGGCAGCAGCTATTGCGCACCTGCACAGCCAGCGGCGAGGGGAAGGCGAGCCCGCGGGACGCGCGGGCGGCACGCAAGGTCGAAGGGGGCACTGGTCCATGGCGAGGTGCCATTCGGTCCAGCCCAGCAGCTGGGGCTTGGCCCCGGCGTTCCCGCCGGCCTGAGCGTCGACGTCGGCCTGGGGCCGGAAGTTGCCGGAGGCGCCAGAGGGGAGCCAGTGGCGCAGGTCGACGTTGACGAAGGGGGCTGCGAGGCCCTTCTTCCGTTTCAGGCGGTCAACCTCAGACGCGAGGGAATCGACGCGCACGGTCCTGGCGAGGCGGACGCGAGCGGAAGGCGGCATGCCGGGCCGACAGTGAGGGGGGGGGCGCGCCTTGGCCAAGCCGAGGCGGGCAGGTTGCCAAGGTGACTGCGCCCAGTTTCGCCTGGACGTCCACGTGCACCGTGGGGGCGTCGTCCTTGTCGAGAATGCGGGTGAGCTCCGTCAGCGGATCCGCTGCGGGCGCCGCTGGGCCGGCCGGCCGGGCGGTTCCAGCGGGGGCGAACTCCTTCTTCGCCGCCTGCGAGACGGCGTCGCGAAGCGACGGCGGAGCGGGGTCGGGCGCGCGCGGGCCTGGACGGCCATGTCGAGAGCGTGCGCCTTGCCGGGCGAGTCGGCAATCGTGCTCGGATCCACATACACGAGGGTCTGGGGTGTGAACACCTGACGCGCGGACGGAGAGGGAGGGGGGAGGGCGAGGCGCGCGCGCGCGGGTCGGCCGGCGGGCGGACGCGCGCCTGATGCTTGTTGAGCAAAACGGCCATGTCCTTGACCCAGCCGTCTTTGTCGGGCGCCCCAGGCGGCACGGCATGTTTCGCAAGGAAAGAGAGCATTGCTTCGGCCGCCGACATGGCGGTGATCGCGTGCGCAGCGAAGGGAGGCGATGCCTGGCTTCGGTCGCTCAATGCGGCGCGCCGCGCCCGCTCGGGTCTCCTTGCCCGGGCGACACAGCTGGGGGTCTGACGGTTGGGCGGGAGCCTCGGAATAACCGAAGTCAGCCGCCGACGAGCTGACGGGCCAGCCGTGGAGGCCCGAGAGCGACGGCGATCGAGCCACACGCATGGTGCCACGCTTAGCGATCCGCGGGTCCCGGGAGCGCGGGAGGGGCCGGCGGGGTGGCGGAGCCCGATGAGCCGACCCGGACCGCGCCGCCCGGACCATCCGCCGGGGCCGCCGGCCGCCGTCGTCGAGAAGCCGACCCGGACCGCGCCGCCCGGACCATCCGCTGGGGCCGCCGGCCGCCTTCGTCGGGAAGCCGAGCCGGAACGGCCCGCTCGGACCGTCCGCCGGGGGCGCTCGCCATTGTCATCCGCTGCTGCCGGGATTTCCCAGGCCGGTAGGGGACCCGCCCGGGCCCGGCCCCGCGCACCGCGAGCCGACCCCGGCCGCGGCGACGAGGGCGGGGAGGCCACCAGAAGCCCGGCGCGGCGAGCCTGTTTCGCGCACCGCCATGGCACCAGGTGTCTTTAAACAGGAAAGGGCAGCCCCGCACCCCCCCTGGAAGGCATTTCCCTGCCCCAAGGGGAGCGCCCCGTGATTCTGTCCGAGGTATTACGCGACTCGGACCACTGCCTTCGCCAGCGCGGCCGCCGCGACTGCGTCTAGGAAGTGGCCCAGCATGGCGAAGGCAATCTGAGCCCATATCGGACTCTCTTCTCCGTCGGCCGCTGTCCATGGGATCCCATAGGCGCGGGCCACCGCGGGACTCCACCATGGCAGGCCGTGCACCGAGTACACCGACATGTCCTGGGAGCACCGATCAATCAGTACCTCCTGCGCGGCCGCCGCGACAGGGGCGCTCGCGACGGGTCGCATCGGCGGATCACGCGCGCGCGGGGGGGCGACCGCTCGCGCGCGGCTCGGGCTCCTGAAGCAAGCGCCCCCAGCGGTATGCGTCCTCCCCGATGCCGGGGCCGATGTCTCCGAAGCACGCGCGGCAGCCTGCTGAGAGATGGAACCCCTTCGCGCTGCATTCGTCGCGAAAGAATCGGCAATCGAAGGCTACCGCTCCCGGTTTCGTCGGCCAGAAGCAATGCACGCACGGGGCGATCCCCTGTGTCGTCAGGCCCACGGCCCTGACATCCGTCGCGGAGCGTCGCGCGCGCGCACGGGCGGGGGGAACGCGGCGAAGCGCCGGCACATGGCCACGCAAGGTGAGGCCGACGTCGAGACGCACCTGTCTGGGCGTCCATCCGTCCTTCGCGCGGCGCCGAGCGAGGCGACCTGTGGCGCGACCGCTGCGGAGGGGCCTCCAGACCGAGTATCTCACATGCGCCAATGAGGCGTGCAGACGCTCCATCCAAGGGTGGCCCATCTCCTTCCAGCACGTGCAGTTGTTGCAAACCTGCAAAGAGGGTCGAACGCGCGCGCGGGTCGGAGCCTCTCCCCGCGGCGCGCGCGGCGCGCCTGCCGAGCCCCGAGTCTGTCGGCGCGCCAGGGGAGGCTCACCGCGGCCTCCGCTCCCCAAGGCAACGCGGGGCATCTCCACAAGAGGGGAGGCACTTCGCTGCGCCCTGCGTCTGGGGCCGCCCGCATGCGCGCCACGCGGCGGTCGCGCTGTACCCCGCGCAGCCAGTTCCAGCTGGTCCGCGCGGCGAGCCCGACCCCGTGGGCGAAGCCGGCAGCTGCGAAAAGAAGCACTGCGAGCTCGGCGATCATCTCGCCCTCAGCGTCCGTCGCGATTCAAAGCGAGACGTGATGCGGGCTGCGCTACCACGGCTAAGCGCGCGTTGGGACGGAACGGGAAGCGCGAACGGCATCCGCACCGCCGGTTGACTGGGAATCCGAGGCCGACCGCCGACGGACCGACCGGGCTGCAACTGGCGAGTCCTCTACCCCTCATGAGGGTGCCGGGCTGTGGCCGGGCGCGGGCGCGCTCCATGGCCATCCGAGGCCGGCAGGCGCGGCGCTGGAGCCGAAGCGCAGCGTATCGTCACGGCGCGGGCCCCAGTGGGCCGTTGCCAGAAGCCGCAGCAGGGCCCCATTGGGCCTGAGCGACCAATGCACCGCGGGCCCCGGTGACCCGCTCTCCTGAGCCGGCACGCAGACCCAGCGCAGGGGCGGAGGACGCACTGCGCCACCGGAGCCGAAACGAGCACCTCGGCACGGTGTGGGCCTCAATGGGCCGTCGCCAGACAATCGCATCAGTGCCCCAGTGGGCCTGAGCGACAACCTCCCAGTGGGGCCCCAATGGGCCGACCGAGCACGTCCATTAACCATGCCGGCGGAACTGCGGGTGGCGTTGACGCGTCGCCGGGAGCCGCGAATACTGCGACGCGGGCCCCAGTGGGCCGTCGCACCGCTCCCAGATGGCCCCAGTGGGCCGACCGTACACGTCCAGTGATCGTGCCGGCCAAAAGGCGACAGGGCGCGCGGATGGGCGTAGCCTCGGGCGCGCGCGCGCCGGCTATTGGGCACGCACCACGCCGACCGGTCGAGACGACAGCCAGACCGGCCGGGACCCCCGCGATCCACCTGCCCGCCAGCGCGGGCGCGGGCGCGGGGGAACCGCGGATCCCGCGGCAGGGCGCCTGGGCGCCACAACGTCCCAGGTCTCCTACCGCGGGTCCGCGATACCCTTGCGCATAGTAGCGCAGAGGCCCGACCATGGGCCAAAAGAAAGTTTCGAGCCACGGCAAAACGACGAGGGGCGGACGGGGCGCCGACCCGGGACCCAGCGCGCCCGCCGCAAGCCGAGCCGCGACCAGCAGAGGCGACGAGGGAGCGGAGCACCGCGCCCGAGGAAGGACCAGGAGCGCCCAGAACCTGGGAGGGACACCGGGTCGGGGACCCCCAGAACACCGGGGCCGGAAAGCGCGGCAGCGCGGGCCCCGTTTGCGCCGCCGACCGACCGGCCCGCAGCGGCGGCGACAGCGGGCGACGACGCGGCGGCGGCGGCACGACGAACCGACAACGACGCGACGACGCGGCAGCGAAGCAGCGCCCGGCCAACCGACCGCCAGCCCGAGCGCACCCACCGGGTCCGCCACCCCACGGAGGGGACCAGGCCGCGACGCAGCGCGCCCGCAGGCAACGCGCCCGAGAGCCGCCGAACGAGAGCCCGAGCCAGCCCGAGAGCCGCCGACCGAGCGAGGCAGCCCAGCCGAGAGCGGGCGGCCCCAAAGGGGCCGGGACACGGGACCGCGAGCGAGCAGGGAAAGGAGTCCGCAACCCCACAACGGGGGATAGGCGGGCGAAGGGCGAACCAGGAAAGGCAAATCAGCGCGGCCCGCCCACCTCGGCGGGGCCGCAAATCCTGCGCGCGCGCGGGGGAGAGGAGGTGGAACCTGCGCGCGCGGCGGGCGAAGCGGAGGGCGGGCGACCAGCCGGCGCGCGGCGACGCGGGCGGGAGAGCGACGGGGCCGGGCCACGGGCAAGCGGGGACAGGGCAGACAAAGGCGGCGGGCCACGGGGACGAGGGGCCGAGCGAGGGGCCCGACGGCGGGAACAAACTAGGACACCGCAGGGCCAACACACGGGCCGAAAACGGGCCACGCGGCGAAAGCAAGACGGGCCGCGGCGAAGGCGAAGCGAAGCGCGAAACGCGCCCAGGCCAGAGATGGCGCCCCGCCTGCCGCGGTCAAATTATGATTTCACCTGTGCGCGGCAAGGCTGGCCGGCGCCGCGGTGAACGCTCGCGTTCGCTCCCTCCGCGGCGGCCTAGCCGCGGCGCAGCCGACAAAGCCGCGGCTCCATCTTTCTCGCGTTTCGCGTGCTGTTCGCCTCGCGGCGATGCGCCCCTCGCAAGCTCATTCGCTCGCTGCGTGGCGCGCGGACGCACGCGCAGCGCAGCCTCGCTGCTGTGCCCGCGAACAGCATTCGTGCCTCGGCTGTTCGTTCAACAACAACAACAACAATCATTTAAGACTGGGGACACTCCGTTCTCACCAGTGCCAGGGTTTTCATAGGAGGCGGGCAATACCCCCACTTTGGGGGGGGGGCCGGTTCAAGCTCTACCAAATTTCCATACGACTCTTCGCCACCACCCACACCCAGCTTCCCGCCCTATGACGTTCGGACACTTCACTTCGTGGCATGCGGACGACCGTGGCTACTATTCAGGGCCCCGCGGCCGACGACGACGGCGTGCGCGCGCGAAGAAAAAACGAATGTGTCCAATATGGTATTATTTGACAGGGATGATGGCCCTGGCATGCGCGCAACCGTTGTTGCAGAAGTTCGAAGCACGTGAAAAAGTTGCTCGCAAGAGCCCGTTTGACAGAAATGTTGAAAAAATATTGGGTTTCCTCAGAAATCCGCAAGAGCGCGCAAGATGAATGTTTGAAACTTTTTTTTGGGAAAACCATTGGGTTTTTTTTTTCATGTTTTTATGTTAAAATCGCTACGAAAACTAAGGTTTTGGAAGGATTTCATATTGCGCGCGCGAGTGTGCACTTCGTGTCATGTGTTTCAAAGGATTCTTGAAGTTCGGTTATGTTAGAACAAGAAATTTCATTTTATAATGTTTTTTGCAAGGGAAAGCGGGCGTCAACAAAACAACCGGATCCGGACACCCACGTTTTGCCTGAGACTTCCTCACGAAAATGATGAAAATGTGGCTGCGGCCTAGGCGCGGCGAGGGGGGCGCGCACCAGGGGTCCCAACAATAATTATTCTTTAGAATAAATAATGTTCAACAACAACAACAACAAGAACAAGAACAATAACAAGAACAAGAACAGCAGCAACAACAACAACAGACTCAGCAACGGCAAAGGCAACAGCAACAGCAACAACAACAAACACAACAACAACAATCAGAAAACGCAAAATACAGAGAAAAAAACTAATAACAACACACTAACAGCAACAGCAGCAGCAGCAACAGCAACAGCAACGACCACCACAGCAACAACCACAATCACAACCACAACAACAACAACAAAAACAACAGCAACAACAACAGCAACAACAACGACGACGACGAAGACGCCGACGACAACAAGAACACTAACAACAATTACCATAACAACATCAACAACAACAGCAACAACAACAACAATAGCAACAACAACAACAATAACAACAACAACGACAACAACAATAACGCCACCAACAACAACAACGACAACAACAACAACAATCACAGCAGCAGCAACAACAAGCAGAATCCGCGCCGCAGAACTCCACTTCAGCCACGCACCAAGGGACAGTGAATGACCGATCGGCCCCTTCAATCTGATGAGGAAGATGTCGTTTCTCCCAGCAGACAGCCTGACAAAGGTTCCCTGGCAATGCGATCCGTGCATATAGAGACGATCTCAGCCAGTCAAAAGTTCCCTGAGAATGCGATCCGTGCATACGGAAGCCTCGGAATGCGATCCACGCATGGAGGACGCGGACGGGATCAATGCGGGGCTCAAACAGGTGGCCAGCACGCCCTTTGGCGGGTAAATACTTACTCTTTGGCAATGCCACCCTGTCGTAATCACCACTTGTCGACATCGGCCTCACCGGCCTCAACCCACCTGCTCGGCCGGGGGTCCATCCCCGCCGCCGCCCTTGATGTCGCCCAGCGTCTTGCAAATGGCGATCGTAGGATAGCAGATGATGCCGCACGAGCCGACCAGGCAAGGGACCTCTTCGTCGCACGGGATGGCGGCCGCCCCGGCAAGGCAGCACATCTGGCCCTGCGACTTGATGCACACGGTGGGCGAGACGCAGCGAATCGCGCAGCAGACGCAGCAGAGCGTCGGCGCGCCTTGCTTGCAGCAGTACTCGACCTCGAGGCAGCACATGGTCTCGCTGGCCATGCACCCCATGCACCCATCCCCGAAGAGGAAGCCGTCGTAGCAGCAGCAGCACCCGTCGCAGACGACGATCGCGTCGTTGTCGAGCGCGTCGCCGTCGCCGCCCATTGCTTCGAGCAACCTCGGCGAATCTTGTGTCCTGACAGCGTGCAGCGAGTGCCCCAGGTCGAGCAGGCCTGAGCCAGAACAGCCGCGCCGTGCCAGCGCCTCTCTCGGAGGCCACAACCTGGGGGAACTCAAGGGGTACCGATACCGCTACTCCCCGGACCCTTTCCCGGGGTGCGCTCTGACCAGGATTTCGAGGCGAATCCAGCGGTGGCGACGAGGGCCTCCCAGGAGGCCCAGGGCCCAGAGAAGGGGAGAAACGAGGGGACGGTAGAGGTACGGACACCTCTGCCTCTGAAACCTGAGGCCCAGGCCCGGCAGCTGGCAGCCCGAGCGTGGGCGCGCAGAGCCCGCGCCTGGCTGGCTCTCTGGCGCGGCACCGTCACGGGAGCCCGCTCGCGGCCCCGGCTGCCCCCCCGACCTCTGGGAGCCTCTGCGACCTCCTGGAAACCCTTTTGGAATCCTCAGGAACTCGAAGGGAATCCAGGAACCCCACAGGGAATCCTCTGGAAACTCCAGAGAATCCCCACGAAACCCCGAGGATCAGAAATCGTGAGGACCCCCAGGCAATGCTCGAGGTCCCGAAAGGAAGCCTCGGGAAGCTTGGGGGAAGCCCTAGGAGACCCCAAGGATTCCCCAGGGCCCCCGAAAGGACCCTGAGGAATCCGGAGGAATCACAAGGGAACCCTCGGGAATCCATCGGGGGTTCCTCGGAAATCCTCTGGAATTCTAAGGCTTCCCGAAGCAATCCTCAGGAACCCCTCGGGAATCCGCAGGTTGCTGGGTTGCTGGGGGGGGGAGGGCCACCCTCAAAACCGCCTTGTCCAACAACAACAACAACAACAACAACAACAACAACAACACCAACAACACCACCACCAACAACACAACAACAACAACCAGTAACAACAACAACCACAACAACACAACAACAACAACAACAACAACAACAACAACAACAACAACAACAACACAACACACACAAACCAACACAACAACAACAACAACAACCACAACAACAACAACAACAACAACAACACAGCAACGTAAACCACGACAACAACTTCAACACACAACAACAACAACAACAACAACGCAACAACAACACAACACAACAACAACAACAACAACAACAACAACCCACAACAGACAACGGGCCCCGGCCGCTGGCGCCCTGCAATCGGCGTAGGGATCGATTACCCGTCATTGGAGGAGAGGGTGAGGGGAGGGGAGGGAATCAGTGAGTGGAATCCCTTGGCGAAGGCGTGGACCTCCGTGACCAATATCAGGCCGATTGCGGGGCGTCCAATGAGCGATGCACGGACTTCATCGCCAAGATCGGAACGTCACTAAATTGGCGGAGGAAGTCTCATTGGCGGGGCGCCGTTCCTGAGTCAATTGCGCGGAAATGTCAGGCAGGAGCGGGGGTCCTGAGTAAAATTCGAAGAAGTCTCAGGCGGGAGCGCCGTTCCCACGTAAATTGCACGGAAGTCTCAGGCGGGAGCGGGGGTCTTGATTACATTGCGAGGAAGTCTCAGACGGGAGCGCCTTTCCTGAGTAAATTGCGCGGAAGTCTCAGGCGGGAGCGGGGGTCCTGAAAAATCGAGGAAGTCTCAGGCGGGAGCCGTTGTTGTTGTAGCCCGGGGGGCAGGGGCACAGTTTGAGCAGGAAGACTTTCCTTGAGAAAAAACCAGGTGCGAGCCCCGGGGGTGGCACTTCAATCGAAAAAAATCAATGTGCACCGGTGGGGGGGGATCAACAATAATTATTCTTCAAGAATGAGAGTTCAACAACAACAACAACAACAACAACAACAACAACAACAACAACAACAACAACTACGACTACTACTACTACTACTACTACTACTACTACTACTACTACTACTACTACAGCAGACTCAGCAACGGCAAAGGCAACATCAACAGCAACAACAACAAGCACAACAACAACAAACAGAAAACGCAAAACACAGAAAAAAATACAACAATCAAAAAAAACTAATAACAACACAATAACAGCAACAGCAGCAGCAGCAACAGCGACGACCACCACAGCAACAACAACAACCACAACCACAACAACAACAATAACAACAGCAACAACAACGGCAACAACAACGACGACGACGACGAAGACGCCGACGACAACAAGAACACGAACAACAACAATAGCAACATCAACAACAACAGCAGCAACAACAACAACAGCAATAGCAACAACAACAACGCCACCAACAACAACAACAACAATCACAGCAGCAGCAACAACAAGCAGAATCCGCGCCGCAGAACTCCACTTCAGCCACGCACCAAGGGACAGTGAATGACCGATCGGCCCCTTCAATCTGCTGAGGAAGATGTCGTTTCTCCCAGCAGACAGCCTGACAAAGGTTCCCTGGCACTGCGATCCGTGCATAGAGAGACGATCTCAACCAGTCAAAGGTTCCCTGAGAATGCGATCCGTGCATACGGAAGCCTAGGAATGCGATCCACGCATGGAGGACGCGGACGGGATCAATACGGGGCTCAAACAGGTGGCCAGCACGCCCTTTGGCGGGTAAATACTTTTTCTTTGGCAATGCCACCCGGTCGTTATCACCACTTGTCGACATCGGCCTCGCCGGCCTCAACCCACCTGCTCGGCCGGGGGTCCATCCCCGCCGCCGCCCTTGATGTCGCCCAGCGTCTTGCAAATGGCGATCGTAGGATAGCAGATGATGCCGCACGAGCCGACCAGGCAAGGGACCTCTTCGTCGCACGGGATGGCGGCCGCCCCGGCAAGGCAGCACATCTGGCCCTGCGACTTGATGCACACGGTGGGCGAGACACAGCGAATCGCGCAGCAGACGCAGCAGAGCGTCGGCGCGTTGCTTGCAGCAGTACTCGACCTCGAGGCAGCACATGGTCTCGCTGGCCATGCACCACATGCACCCATCCCCGAAGAGGAAGCCGTCGTAGCAGCAGCAGCACCCGTCGCAGACGACGATCGCGTCGTTGTCGAGCGCGTCGCCGTCGCCGCCCATTGCTTCGAGCAACCTCGGCGAATCTTGTGTCCTGACAGCGTGCAGCGAGTGCCCCAGGTCGAGCAGGCCTGAGCCAGAACAGCCGCGCCGTGCCAGCGCCTCTCTCGGAGGCCACAACCTGGGGGAACTCAAGGGGTACCGATACCGCTACTCCCCGGACCCTTTCCCGGGGTGCGCTCTGACCAGGATTTCGAGGCGAATCCAGCGGTGGCGACGAGGGCCTCCCAGGAGGCCCAGGGCCCAGAGAAGGGGAGAAACGAGGGGACGGTAGAGGTACGGACACCTCTGCCTCTGAAACCTGAGGCCCAGGCCCGGCAGCTGGCAGCCCGAGCGTGGGCGCGCAGAGCCCGCGCCTGGCTGGCTCTCTGGCGCGGCACCGTCACGGGAGCCCGCTCGCGGCCCCGGCTGCCCCCCCGACCTCTGGGAGCCTCTGCGACCTCCTGGAAACCCTTTTGGAATCCTCAGGAACTCGAAGGGAATCCAGGAACCCCACAGGGAATCCTCTGGAAACTCCAGAGAATCCCCACGAAACCCCGAGGATCAGAAATCGTGAGGACCCCCAGGCAATGCTCGAGGTCCCGAAAGGAAGCCTCGGGAAGCTTGGGGGAAGCCCTAGGAGACCCCAAGGATTCCCCAGGGCCCCCGAAAGGACCCTGAGGAATTCGGAGGAATCACAAGGGAACCCTCGGGAATCCATCGGGGGTTCCTCGGAAATCCTCTGGAATTCTAAAGCTTCCCGAAGCAATCCTCAGGAACCCCACCGGGAATCCGCAGGTTGCTGGGTTGCTGGGGGGGGGGGGGCACCCTCAAAACCGCCTTGTCCAACAACAACAACAACAACAACAACAACAACAACAACAACAACAACAACAACAACAACAACAACAATTACTAGCACGTGGGGACACTCCGTTCTCACCAGTGCCAGGGTTTTCATAGGAGGCGGGCAATACCCCCACTTTGTGGGGGGGCCGGTTCAAGCTCTACCAAATTTCCAAACGACTCTTCGCCACCACCCACACCCAGCTTCCCGCCCTATGACGTTCGGACACTTCACTTCGTGGCATGCGGACGACCGTGGCTACTATTCAGGGCCCCGCGGCCGACGACGACGGCGTGCGCGCGCGAAGAAAAAACGAATGTGTCCCGCATGGTATTATTTGACAGGGATGATGGCCCTGGCAGGTGCGCAACCGTTGTTGCAGAAGTTCGAAAAAGTTGCTCGCAAAAGCCCGTTTGACAGAAATGTTTAAAAAGTGTTGGGTTTCCTACGAATCCGCAAGAGCGCGCGGGATGAAATTTTGACATTTTTTATTAAAAAAAACAAAAAACCATTGTTTTTTTGATGTTTTTATGTTAAAATCGCTACGAAACTAAGGTTTTGGAAGGATTTCGTCTTGCGCGCGCGAATGTCCACTTTACCCTTTTTTTGCAAGGGATTCTTGAAGTTTGGTTATGTTAGAACAAGAAATGTCCACTTTAGCTTATTTTTTGCAAGGGAAAACCGATCAACAAAACAACCGGATCCGGACCACCCCGTTTTGCCTGAGACTTCCTCACGAAAATGATGAAAATGTGGCTGCGGCCTAGGCGCGGCGGGGGGGTCGCGCACCAGGGGCCCCAACAATAATTATTCTTTAGAAGTAATAATGTTCAACAACAACAATTACTAGCACGTGGGGACACTCCGTTCTCACCAGTGCCAGGGTTTTCGTACGACGCCCGCCAATACCCCCACTTTGTGGGGGGGCCGGTTCAAGCTCTACCACATGTCCAAACGACTCTTCGCCACCACCCACACCCAGCTTCCCGCCCTATGACGTTCGGACACTTCACTTCGTGGCCTGCGGACGACCGTGGCTACTACACTGGCGCATGGGTACAGTGACTTGTTGTGGTAACATTTTCTGGACGCTAGCTTAGTATACGATTTCCCCCTGTTCCAACACTGGACACCTGTACTGGTTTTTGGTGGTAACGTGTTCCTGAAAGTGTTGGGTTTCCTACAAATCCGCAAGAGCGCGCGGGATGAAATGTTGACACTTTTTTTTTGATGTTTTTAAAAAAAACACAGGTTTTGGAAGGATTTCGTTTGAATGGCAAGGGATTCTTGAAGTTTGGTTATGTTAGAACAAGAAATGTCCACTTTGCTTTATTTTTTGCAAGGGAAAACCGCCCGTAACAAAACAACCGGATCCGGACCAACCCGTTTTGCCGGAGACTTCCTCACGAAAATGATGAAAACTATGGCTGCGGCCTAGGCGCGGCGAGGGGGCCGTGCACCAGGGGTCCCAACAATAATTATTCTTTAGAAGTAATAATGTTCAAAACAACAACAACAACAACAACAACAACAACAACAACAACAACAACAAACAACAACAACAACAACGACAACAACAAACCACAGCGCGCGGGCGCGGCGCTCTCCGGCGTCCGCCACGCGGTCGGCGCAACCGGCGATGGGTGCGGCGGCGCGTCGGGCGGCGCTGCCCCCGCCGAGCACAAGGCGGTGGCGCGCGCGCCCTCGACGGCGACGCTGGCCGCTACAACCCGGGCGGATGTGGGCGGGGCGAAACGCACCCAGGCCAGAGATGGCGCCCCGCCTGCCGCGGTCAAATCATGATTTCACCTGTGCGCGGCAAAGCTGGCCGGCGCCGCGGTGAACGCTCGCGCTCGCTCCCTCCGCGGCGGCCTAGCCGCGGCGCAGCCGACAAAGCCGCGGCTCCATCTTTCTCGCGTTTCGCGTGCTGTTCGCCTCGCGGCGATGCGCCCCTCGCAAGCTCATTCGCTCGCTGCGTGGCGCGCGGAAGCACGCGCAGCGCAGCCTCGCTGCTGTGACCGCGAACAGCATTCGTGCCTCGGCTGTTCGCTCACCACAGCGCTGCGGGCGCGGCGCTCTCCGGCGTCCGCCACGCGGTCGCAGCAACCATCCTGCGATGGGTGCGGCGGCGCGTCGGGCGGCGCTGCCCCCGCCGAGCACAAGGCGGTGGCGGCGCGCGCCTCGACGGCGACGCCTGGCTGCTACAACCAAATGCAACAGCAGGCTGGCGTCAGCCGTCGTGCGCGCGCCCCCCACTACCAATCGTCGCGGATTTCTTGCCGCGCGCGGTACGAAAGGCGCGACGAAGCGCGCATTACGGCTGAGAGGCAGCGCTTGCGGGGGCTTGGCCCGCGGCCCCTGGGCCCACGCTGGCGGAGAGGGCCATGCCCTCGCCCGTCGCAGCGCCCTCCAAGGCAGGCTGGTCTAGGTGGGCCTTGAGGGCGCCGGACCTCCAGTTACCGGCCCGCAAAATGGTTGCGAGGCTCCCCCCACCTTGTCGGAGGGTCTCCGTGTGGCCGCGCCGCAGGCACCTAGAGGTGATACGGGCGGCATTGGGGAGCCCCGCCGCGTGCGCCGACCTGCGCAAGTTGCGGGCAACCGCCGGCACGGGGAGAACGCGCCCTGCCTTGGTCGGCTTCGCCACGTGGGCGAAGGGGGAGGCACCCGGCGCTATATCGCCCAGCAGGGTGCGCGGGGCGTGCACCGGGCAGGTCGCGGCGCATATGCAACACCAGCACGAAAGTCTGACAACGCTCGGCCTAGGCATGTGCTTGCGCCTCGAAGGGTGGAGGACGACCGCTTCGCCTGTGGTGAAAAGCACGATGGTCGGCGCTGGGCGGTCAAGTTCCTCCTGCTTGAGACGGAAATTGGCCGCCATCGCGGGATCGCCAATGCGGATAAGCAGCGCCTCCGAGGGCAGCCTTAGGGCTAGGGCAAAGGCGAACACGAACAGCGCTCGCACCCGAGGGTCTGGCACGCGCGGCAGCATTGCGACTAGCGCCTTCCGCGTGACCGGAGGAGGTCGCGGGCCGGGCTGAGGCGCACGGTGCTTGATCACGGTCTTCGCGCGCGCTACTGCTGGGCTGCGGCACGCCGAGCGATCGAGACCTAGAAGCACGCATGCCTTGTCGACCTGAGCCTTATAGCTGGCAAAGGTGCCTGGGTTCGAAAAACACAGGGCCCAGAGGCAGAGCTCGTCCACAGTTGGCGGCAAGGGGCTGCCCCCCCGGCCAAGCTGCGATTTGGCGAAGCGAAACCAGCACCTCAGGCCGGCCGTCCACGTTCCGAGGGAACGCGGGGCACTATTGAGGACGGCGGCGTACCGGGCCCCGAGCAAGGTGCGCCTCCTGACGTCGGGGTCGCACGGTGCCACGGGCAAGCGACGAATTGCGGCGCGCGGGCCACCCTGTCGTGAGCCCGGTGGCGACGCCTTCAACGCGGTTGTCGCTCGCGCCAGCTGCAGCCGCTGCGAAGGAACGTCCCGCTGATGTGGGCTCGCGAGTGCTGGCCCGGCCGGGCGCCTGTCGCCAGCCCGCGAGGGGGGCGAGGAGGACGACGACGAGGAGGAGGACAAAGACGAGGAGGAGCCGGCGGAGGAAGAGACACACAGCACGGCTCGCACGGGCGCCCGCCTCGCCACTCGTCGCCGGCGCAGCGGGCGGCGGGCCCGGCGGCGGCCGCGCCCGCGCGAACAGTGCAATCGCGCGCTGCGCATCGGGTGAGAGCGCCCCGTGGCCATTCCATGTCTCGGGGGCGCCTACCGCCCGCACGGAGGAAATTGCGAAGACATCGCAGGAAACCAGAAACCTGGCGATTTCGTCAGCGACCGTGGGTGACGCCCACGGGGCCGCCGCGGCAACCTGGTCGGCGAGCTTCATGCTGGCGCGCCGATGGGAGAAAGGAGAGAGAGGTCGCCTCGCGCCCAGCGCGCCTCTCTGGAGCCCCGAAGGAGGGAGAGGTCGCCTCGCGCCCTGCGCGCCTCTCGAGAGCCCCGACGCGGTGGGAGCGCGCCAGCCTGGCTTCTGACGCACTGTGCCAGGCGGCGTTCGCTCCCTTTTTGCGGAAGCGTGCCTTGCTCGGACCCGAGCGGGAGCGACCGGCGCTGGCCGGCGTGGGCGCGCCTAGGGAGACGTCGTTTCGATCGGGTCGTCATCGACGTACGCGCCCGGCGCGCCCATCGTCGTCGGGCGATAGTCGACAGTGTCGGAATCACTGGTGGAGCTGCTGGGCTCCGGTACGGGCGCCGTGC